TAGTGAGTCAGTACAATGGCGAATACGAAGCAACACATCCGGCCATGATCAAATATTTACAGGCGGTCCGACAAGCAGTCGGCTCCCTTGAGGATTTCCATCTGATCCAAGTACCGAGATCAGAAAACAACCAGGCAGATGCACTCTCGAAATTAGCATCAGCCGCCTCCTCCGATACTCCTCGAACTGTGTTTTGGGAAGTAATGGAGAAGAGAAGCATCGAGGAAAATCCTATTGGAATTCTAGACAGAAGCTCAACCTGGATGGATTCAATCAGGGCATATCTGACAAACGGTACACTGCCGGATGATCCTCAACAGGCGGCATCACTGAAAAAACGAGCCTCCTGTTTTGAAATGATACAGGGGGAACTGCACAAGAGGGGGCACCTTCAACCCTTCTTAAAGTGTGTTACTCTTGAAAAGGGACGAGAGATACTAGATGATCTTCACTCTGGTTTCTGTGCTTCCCATATAGGTGGTAGGATGCTTGCTCAAAGGGCAAGGCGGCAGGGCTACTTTTGGCCTACTTTGGAAGCAGATGCAATGGAGATGGTGAAAAAATGTGACAAGTGCCAAAGGTTTGGCAAATTAATTCACCGTCCGGCTACTGACCTCACTACCATTCACAGCCCACTACCGTTTGCTAAGTGGGGCATGGACATTCTGGGTCCATATACGCCTGCTACAGGCGGCAGAAGGTATATACTTGTTGCCGTTGACTACTTCACTAAATGGGTAGAGGCGGAGGCTGTAAAGGGAATCAAGACGAAAGATGTAATTTCATTCATTTGGAAAAACGTCATCACTCGGTTCGGGGTTCCCATGTCTATGGTTTTTGATAATGGTCCCCAATTTGAGACGCCTGTTCTCAAAAGCTGGTTGGGAGACCAAGGAATTGGACATTACTTTGCATCTGTCGGCCGTCCACAAGCAAACGGCCAGGTAGAAGCCTTTAATAAAATCATCTCAGACGGTCTCAAGAAAAAAATTGAACGAGCAGGCGGCCTATGGGCAGATGAACTACCACATGTTCTTTGGGCCATTAGGACGACTGAAAAAGGGGCGACTGGAGAAACTCCATTCCTCCTAACTTATGGTGCAGAAGCTGTTCTTCCAATAGAACACTACGAGCCGACTCTTCGAGTAATGCTATATGACGAAGAGGCAAACTGGGAAGCTATGCGCCTGGCATTAGACTCACTTCCTGAAAAGAGGGGCAATGCTGTTTTGCGCCATGAAATCTACCGCCTGAGAATGACTAGATCATACAACAAAAAAGTGCACAGGCGTCCACTCAAAGTAGGGGACTTTGTACTTAGAAAAATGGAAGCAGTTGGTAGGGCTAACGAGTCTGGCAAACTAACTCCCAACTGGGAAGGACCCTACCGAATCTATGCGGAAGTCAGGGACGGTACCTACCGTCTGGAAACACCAGACGGACAACCGTTGCCTCGAACTTGGAATGTAGATAACCTTAAGAAATATTTCTTTTGAATGATGTAAAGTAAAGAGCTACTTAATAAAGTTGGCACTTACTATTCAATTTTGTATTACGAGGGGCATGCCGTCTGTACCTTTACAGTCGGCTACTCTCCATTGAGTTTTTTCACTCTATCTTCAGAGGGGCATGCCGTCTGTACCTTTACAGTCGGCTACTCTCCATTGAGTTTTTTCACTCTATCTTCAGAGGGGCATGCCGTCTGTTCCTTTACAGTCGGCTACTCTCCATTGAGTTTTTTCACTCTATCATCAGAGGGGCATGCCGTCTGTACCTTTACAGTCGGCTACTCTCCATTGAGTATTTTACTCACAATACTTAGCTAAAAAGATTAGGGCCTGGCCGACCCTGTGCCTAACAGGCGGCTACCCTTCTTTGACTTAGCACCTACGTTCACCAAGAACTTACCAAGGCCACCGGCCGAATGATCAGACCAGGCGCCTAGTCAACTGATCTAACTTTTAAAAACTAATCCGACCTGTCCCAACATTATAGCAGGCGTCCGGCGGCATCCATTCGGATGAAATTCGTCGCAGAGAGCAGCTCCCTTTTGGGTGGAACATTGTTCTATAAACTAATTACACGGCACCTATACGACTGTCCCAAAGGGCAACCACGTAGCCGTTTTTGAGACAAGGATAACTCTATCACTAACCAAACCAGTGGTAGCAGTTGACATCTGAGTCAGATGACCGCCTGTATTACTTGGGATAAATGCAGGGGGTACCTATTGAGTTAATAGCCAACAAACATTGGCGAATCAAGGGGTCTAGCCGGCCTACGCCGCCTGGTACCTCTACTTCTCAAACAAAAGTGACGGCGACTGAAGTAACTCCAAAGTTAACTCATAGTCACTCCTTCAAATTTGGTATGGAACCTAAAAAGTTTGAGTCGTCCGCCTGTTTTATACAAACAAGGACACTCGAACCCCTATTCCTACTGGATAACCTATTGAGTAAATAGCCAACAAACATTGGTAAATCAAGGGGTCTAGCCGGCCTACGCCGCCTGATACCTTTACTACTCAATCAAGATTGTGACGAAGACTAAGTAACTCCTATGTTAACTTAATAGTCACTCAAACTTAGTACTGAGCCTAAAAGGTACGAGTCGTCCACTTGTTTTTAATAAACAAAGGCTCTCAACCAATACTCTTGCTAGGTTAACAAATAACAAATTAGAGGCCAACATTGGCAATAAAGGGAAACAACCGGTACCCGCCGCTTGTTTTCCTACTTAAATTCCTTGGCTACTTGGTAATTCTATTTACTTGGTCAAATTGAATAAAGAGTTCGAATACCGATTGATTAAATGGCCGACTGATCATCTATCCTGGAAACAGACAACCAGTCGTCCAGGGGCATAGGCGGCATACTTACTATTTGTACCTGTCTTAACGTTCGGCCATACACAACAGTCTGTCTAGTGAGCAAATTTCAAATACTTAGACAAATTTGAACAAAAACAAAAAATTTGATTAAAATGAGCCGGCCATAAAAGACCAGCAGAATATTCAAAACCCCGGCCCCTGGCCGGGTAATTACAAAGCAAACGGCACGCAGGCCGTGAAAAGAAAAAATATACTTAAAGCTTAAGAAGGGGGCAGTACAGTATCAGCAGCAGCCGCCTGGTCAGCACTCTTCTTGCTGGACTCGGCCTTCGCTGCATCATCTTTTGATGCCTTTCCCCCAAGTGGCACAAGCGCCACAACAGGCTCTTCCTCCTCCAACGCAACGTCTAGAAGCCCGTTCGGCCCTAGGTTTACCTTAAACCTAGAGAGTTGCACGCTTCCCAAGGCTATAAATACTCGATTAATCCTCATTAATCAAGGGACCGAATAATTGACAGAACACACTAATAACCGGCTGATCTCGCTAGCAAAGCAGATTACCTACATTAAATACTCTCACCTGGAGAGACCTTATTACTTTAATTTCTGTATTAATTACTCCTTAATCAGGTACTAACTTGACCGTTGGAGGCGGAGCTCTCAGGAGTCTCCGTTATTTTGCAGGTACAGGCGTCCGGTTCCAGTCTCGGAATTGTAACTCTCCCGCAGGACATCAGAAAACCCCGAAACAGTAATAGCTTGGTCAAACAACCTAATTGAGTAATTGTAATTTTTCAAAAAAAAAAATAAAATCACTTAGGCTATGTTCTTTTGAGCTTCTGGGCAGAGCAGGGGTCAGCAGAGCAGAGCAGAGCAGATTTCAACATTATTATTATTAATACTATTATTAATAATGTTGTTATTGTTATTATTATTATTGTTATTGTTCTTATTGTTATTGTTGTTGTTATTATTATTATTATTATTATTATTATTATTATTATTGTTGTTGTTGTTGTTGTTGTTATTGTTGTTATTGTTATTGTTGTTATTGTTATTGTTATTGTTATTGTTATTGTTATTGTTATTATTACTACTACTACTACTACTACTACTACTATTACTATTATTAGTATTACTACTATTAATGTTATTACTACTACTATTATTATTACGATCTTGCTAACGAGCGCCCCGGGGCGTTAGATAAGGATAAATTATATTGGTTAAAATGATATTAAGTTAGGAATTCATGACAAAATCACGCGTCGTTCGGTGTAATTAATGTTAATTTTACTCTAATATTTGCACTTTAATTCTCTTATCTAACGCCCCGGGGGCGCTCATTAGCTTTTGCCTTATTATTATTATTATCATTATTATTATTATTATTAATGTTGTTGTCATTATTATTATTATTATTATTATTATTAATGTTGTTGTCATTATTATTACTATTATTATTATTACTACTATTACTATTAATATTACTATTACTATTACTATTACTATTATTAAGTGCATATACCATTGATTTAGGTGAGTGAAAACATAAATATATGTATACCATATTTAACATATGTTAATAATAGAAAGATAAAAGACAACGGTTTAATTACTTATATTTATTTCACAAAAATTTTAAAATAAAATGATTTAATGAGTAATAATGATTTTACTTATAAATTTGTCTCAATCATATATTTTTTTAACCCTAAAAATAATAATGATATACAAAGTACTACTTGAAAACAACCTCTTTTTTTTTTTTTTTTTTAAATTCTTAAATTGTATGGAAAGATTTGAAAAATAATTCAACTCAATGATTTAACTATCAATACCCACATACATAAAATGTTTCTACACATTGTGATTCTAATATCAAATGTTTATAAAAGATATTGTTATTATTATTTATTTATTTGAAAGAATTGTTATAATTATTAGAAATTATAATAAATAATATTATTAAATATTAATTCTTAATAGTTTGAATTAATAAATATTAATAATGATAACTATTATTATTAATTATTATTATGATTAATAAATATTAATAATTATTAAAAAAATTAATATTAATAATTATTATAATTATTCAAAATAATAAATTATTATCATTAATACAATATTAATTATTATTATTATTGAATATTAATTATTACGGAGTATTATTGTTATTATTAATTAGTGCAGAGCAGAGCAGATTTCTTTTGAGCAGAGCAGTTTTAAAGAACGGGGCTTACTGTAACTTTTAGCTCCGTTAACTAATAACTTAATAACTAAAGATTTTTCAAAATTACTAGCTAGTCTTAATTACAACTTTTCGGTTTTTTTTTTTTTTTTTTTAATTTGGATATTTAGAAGGAAAAATTGAAAAGAATAATCCCACCTTTTGCCCATATGCTTAATATAATTCCACCTTTTCGAATTCTAGAAATAATCTCACCTTGTAACCCCATCTTCCCAAAATGATCCTTTTTACCTTCAACCTGTTTTACAAGTTATTATTTTTTTTTTTTTAAATTTTTTTTTAATCTTCTTTTTCCACCTCACCCCATCATTCAACCACCAAGACCACCCACCACCACTGCGCTCACCACCTTCCCACTATCAACACCAAACTGACTGCCTTATATGCAACCCCAGCCCCGCCCCGCCACACCTGAGCCACGCCCACCCAAATCCCACAAGTCTCCTCAACAGCAAGTTCCAAGGTTTGAATCGAAAACCTCGTTCCCACCCATCACCATTGATTTCGTTTCGGTCAAGCTCCAACGTCAAGCTCCGAGTTTCGTCTTTGTTGATCTGGCGGTCAAGCTCCAAGGTCGTTCCCACCCCTCACCCCACCTTTGAGTTGTTATTCAGGTGAATAAAGAAGACGATGGAGATAGTTGTTGGAGTAGACTCGGGCGAGTTAAGAAACTCGCTGGGAGTTGAGGGAGCTGAGTTGACTCAGGGAACTCGCTAGTGAGTTGATTCCCCTGAATTTCCAATCCTTTTAAAGCGATTAACTCGGAAAAGCTTAGTGGGATAGGACCCATGGCTCCATGAGAGCATTGATGTCGAGAACGAGCTCTTGGAGGTGGGTGAGTCAGGAATAGGACCGGAGAAACGATGTGGTGGTGATTGGTGAATTGGGTGGGAGGGAATCAAGGAGGGCGGCTGGCCGGCTCGATCTGGTCGTTCTGGCGGATGGCTGGGTCTGACTGGTCAGCGGCGGTGGTCCGGCGAGGGGGCTCTGGCAGGGGAAGGAAGAAGAAGAGGGTTTTTTGTTTGTTTGTTTTTTTTAAAAAAAATTCTTTAATTTTAAAAATAATTCTTTAATATTTTAAAAACCCAATCAAAATGTGACACGTGTTAAATTACCTTTTAAAACAGGTTACCAATTCAAACAACGGGTCATTATTTTGGGAAGATGGGTTACTAACTAGGATTAATTATGGAATTTGAAAAGTGGGATTATTTTGAGTAGATGGACGAAAGGTGGGATTATTCTTTACAATTTTTCCTATTTAGAAATAACACTCGAATGAATCAGTAGAAGAACAATGGAAAGAGGAGTACAACGATGGATTGTTGACATATCAGAATGGAACCCTTCACCCGCTGACTTCTGCGCTGCAATTTCTGTTCTTCCCGAACATCAGCACTCCTTTGTATACAGGTAAAACTCCTCCCATTGCATTGCATTTATATTTGCTTAACTATTCTGGAGTTAATTTGCTTTTGACGAATTATACGTTATAATTTAATTATATTGGAAAGGGTATAATTTTATATACTTGGTGTGAAAAGTTAGTGGAAAGTTGTAATTGTTGACACATCAAATTGTTCAATGATGTATGATTGAGAATGTATTCAAGAGTATTCAATTCAATTAATTTGTAAAGGGTATAATTTTATGTACTTAGTATGAAGGATTAGTGAAAAGTTATACGGAGTAATTGTTACATCAAATTGTTCAATGATATATGATTGAGAATGTATACAAGGGTATTCAATTTAATTAATTTGTTATGTACTTGGTATGAAGAATTATTGGAAAGTTATAATTGTTCAAGAATGCAAATTGTTCAATGATATATGATTGAATATGAATTCAAATGTATTCTAGTGTTATGGTTTTTCTGTAGATTGGGATTTTAGATACTTGTTGAAAAGTAAAGGTTGTGTTGTTTAGTAGGATGTTATACAACATTGATAATCTAAGTACTATTGTGAAGATAAATTCCGAATGGGACAGTTTGATAAGGCTGGTTTCATTTACCTTATAGACATTTGAAGGCATAAGAACAATTATTACTTGAAATTGTTGTGTTTTGAATTTTATCAATTTTATTAAATAAAGAAAGACGTAAAACAAAAATGATATGATGAGAAAATATGCTTAATTAGATCAGTTGTATGTACCATTAATCAAGAGATAACAAGTGGTTTGCTTTCATAACAGAAATTGGACACTTGACATGTGTTGAGATATGAATGGCGTGCCTTTTGTTTTAAATTTGTAATTTCAGTTTTTAACTCTAATTAAATCAGTCTAGGAAACTTGTTATGGTTAAAAAATATAGATATGTGAAGTTGGAAGACCGGAAACGGGCGTTGGTGAGTAGGCTGCTTCAGTATGCTCTTGTGCATCAAGTATTGGGAATTCCCTTTAATGAAATAGTTATCAGGTCAACTGCTGAAGGCAAGCCCTATGTGGTAAAGCTCTTTTTCTTCATCCTCTCTTTTTTTAATTTTGAAAAATCATACTGCTCTTCATTTATATAATGTATTCTGTTTGGAATATTGAAAAATTTCTCGCGGCTGGACCTTCCTCCATCCTTTCCTCGGGAGAGTGATTGAGTTGATGTTGCTAAACAGGTTGCTTGTGAACGTAGAGGGGACAGGGTAGGTTCTTGTGCTTTGCCAAAGATCAAATTAAGATTTCTTCTCAAATACCTTTGCATATTGAATTGCTCAACTCTTTTTTAAGAATTGCCTATAACTTCTTTTTCAACATCCTTAAATAAACAACATTTTTCTTCTTTTTAAGACTAGTTGTTTTGGTTTAGGAGTGGAGGAACCGTTCCGTTGAGACCTGAAATCGTCCAATATGTAGAAATGGCAGTAGAAGTATAAGGAAAATGAGAGGAATTTATAAAGAAGTGATAGGGAGGAAGGAGCAGCACTAGAAACTATCCTAGAGTTTCTTCTGAACATTTGAGGTTGTTATTGCTCATTTGTCAAAGAAGAGGAGAGAAAGAGAAGTGGTGCACACTGCCATTGTAACATTGTTGCCAGATAATTGGCCGAGACTTATAGCTAGAACTCTGAAAAGGTGTTTCGAAAGCATCATTCTTAAGCTGAGCGGTCAAAGCCAGTAATGATCCAAAGGATAAGGAAGTTAATATTCTTAATCTAGCAAGATATTGTTAATTTTGCCAATGGTTTAAAAAACCGTTTATTTCGGGTAGGATGTTTTCTGATTATCTGTACAAAGGAGAAGCATGATCAGTTTTAAGAAAAAGCTTCAGTGTCTCATAAACATGTAATTTTATGTTGCCTGGATTCCACTCTTTTAGAGAGAAGCTATTGGTTCACCTAACCAAATTTAAATTCTAGAAAGCTGTGCGCTGGAATTTGTTTTTTTTTTATTTTTTTATTATTATTTTTTTTTTATAGAACGATCAGAGTCTAGGAAGAAGAACAGTACACAAAAGTTTAAGGTTTTCTAAATAGTGTTAGCTTGTCATGGGCTTTTATTATAGAACATGGCAGGCTTGGGATTTTGTTTGTAGCCATGAAATACTTGCACTGTGGGTGAGTTAGGTATCTTCTTTAGTAATTTAGTTACCAACTTAAAGGTTTTTTTTTGGTGCAAACCTACTTAAAGGTTTTTGAATCTGGGGTTGCTTTTAAATAAGTTTTGTTTGGACCTATTATACATGTAGTCTTAAGAAGCATCAAACTCATTAGTGGATTTGAAGTGTGCAAGTCAGATGTGCCTAGCCTTTTTTTGTTTTCATGATCATATTATCATATTGGATCATTTAAGCTTGGGGTCAAGTCCATGTTGTACATGGGCTCTGCAAGATCAATAAAGAAACGGATCAGCAAAAATGTAAGAAGGGCGCCTTCAATGAGAGTGATATTCTTTGTGCTATATGTGTCAAAGAATCTAACTCCTGATATGTGGAATATTTGATTCTTAAATGTGTGTGGATAGGTAATTGGAATTTAATAATGGTTTTGTTTACTTTCCTAATTTGTAGGGAATTTGCCTATCACATATTCTATTATATAACACATCATTAAGTAAACGTCAGCAATGAGCGGACTTGTTACTCTGTGAACCAATTAGTCCATCTTGTAATATTTATGTTCCTTGAAATAAAATCATTTATGTCCTATCAATCTAGTAAAGAGTGAAGATATCTGTTTTATGCTGATATAAAGGCGGCATGTAAGTTGGATATTTTTAGACGTCTAATAGAGGGAATTTTCATGTTTCTAGATGAAACACCCTAAACCGAATAACACCTATAGCACTACCTAACCATGGACTAGTTCAGTGACAAGTATAGGGTCAAACCATGAGGACAACAAAGACCACTATCAACAGAATCTATGTGCAAAACTAACTCAGAGATTTGGTTGATTAAAAATCTAAAAATACAATTCTAACAACAATTAAGTGAGCAATTAAAATAACTAGCTAGGATCTCAAATGAAGGAAGCACTAGGGGAATAGGATGAAATTAAGTAAGGATAAGGGTTGAAACATACATTAAACTAAACTAATCTGAATATATTGATTAGGATTGCATGCCCCCATTTGTTTTGATAGTGAATGCTTTCTCTAAACATGCAAACCTATGCTTTTGCCTTATACTCACACTTAAATGTCGAATTAAACAAATCAATGAATAAACTCTTCTAGACCACACTTTTGTGCACCTCTATTCAAGTATACTCATATGCTACAATAGATTGGTCAAAACATGCAACATATGTTAAACATATTATCAAAGAATTTAATCATTGAATTTCCAAGACATACCCCATTAATTCATAACACCAATCAACCCATCACTGTTCTCCTAGCTATGAAACTAATTACTAATTATGTTCAAATTTAATCTAAAAACTGCCAATATCCATATTCATATTGCAAAAGCAATAAATATCTAACAAGAGTAAATCAAGGATAAACTACTATCAAAACAAACAAAAGTGCATATTTTGGAATTTTGAATGGAATTAACAAAGTTAGACTGAAGGAGAAAGTGAAGAGAATTTACTAATGATGCTTCATTAATTTTCAACAAAATGGTTTACAAAGTCTTCAAGTCGCCATAATCAAAATGTTTTCTCTCTCTAGATTAAGATAAAAATGCTATGATTAGTATAAGGATGATTATGTTCTAACAACAACACCGGGCCAAAAATAGCTTAAGTATCTCCTAACATATTAAATAAAGAACCGGGCAAATGTTTGCCCAAACCAAGTTTATTCACCTGGTTATGAAGAAAGAAGTAAAGGAAGCATTGACCCTAACTTGACCCGTCAATAATCAAGCCTAATTGGGTGTTAAAAAGAGGAGGTGGAGGGTGGTTGTGGTGATGGTCATTGGTGGGTGGCAAATGGTGTTTATGGTGTGGGAGAGAGAAAGAGAGAGAGTTTGTGTGTTCGTGACTTTGTGTAAGGGGCTTCTGGGTTATACCGGGGGGTGGGAGTGGGGGGAGGGCTGTTGTTTATTGTGATTATTTGGTGGCTCAAGAAGTGGTTGACAGAACTGGTGACTGCTTTGGCAGTGCAAGGATGGATCTCTTCTGTGTCAAGTTATTTTTAGTTGTGGCGCTGGCTGCTGGGCTGGTAGTCCTTGATGATGAACTTCCGTCAGAATCTTCATTGTTTTGGAGAGGTATTGTTGCCTGCTGGAGTGTGTAATGGAACATATAAAGCTATGCTGCTATGTATTGGGTGAGTCTAACCCATCCAATAATTAAAACAAAAGATAATCTTAAAGCAAAATGAGAATTAATTGAACAAGGGTAATAATCAAATTAAAGGTGCTATGTTTATGTTGAATAAATCATAAAATTAAGAGCTAAAACTTGTAAAAATCACTAATTAATCTAATTCGGCTGCGAAATATAAAAAGAAAAATTAAAGGTTAAAATGTGTAAAAATGAAGAAAATAACTTATACATTAACTTAAAGACAACCCTAGAAGTGACATAAACAGTCTTCTTATTGATAGAGATTCTTGTCAAGCTTAGCTTCTTGCTGTTTACTATATCTAAAAACTGCTCTTGCTCGACTGGAAGGTAGTGCTGGCATTGTTCAACAGCTTTGTGACTGGCAGAAATTGGAAATTGCTTTTTATTTCATTAGATATAAAGATTATCAGATGCTGGCTTTACTGGAGCACTTTTGATACTGATAATTATAGTAGTTTAGTTTAGGTTAATTAGTGAAGCTCTAATAAGAACAAACTGTTAAAGTATCATGTAATGACCTAGACGTGGTCCCAGGGGTTTATTGAGGAAATGCACTGATATTCTGTTAGAGAATCTATGAGCTATGTAACTTGGATTCGGCTACACATGTCTGACACGGGTATGTGTCCAAGTGTCCAACTCAACTATTTTGTGTAAAATATAAAAAATCCATGGTTTTGAACCAAAAAGATGTGTCTAATTGTCCTACCCAAGTCCAAGTGTCGAGGGTCTGACACGAAGTAAATTGAAGAGTCCTAGTAACATAGTGTATGTGATGGCTAGCTTGTGAAATCAAAGAATATGGTGATGAGAATGCGATAAAAACAAACTGGGGGCAGTGGAAAAACATCCTTCCCCTTTCAGATTTGTTTCCATATTATTGTTTAGGTTAGTTCATGGCCTCTCGAATGCCTTATCTGTAACACTATTCACTGAGAATCAATTCAAGAAAATATCTCTCTTTAATCATCATCTTCTTGTTTTATAATCATCTTCTTTGTTTCAATTACTCTGTTTCTGCTGGTGCTAATTTGATCTGTTACAAATGAAAAGAACATCTACTTTATTGATTTCAAAAGAACCTCAAGTATAAACACACAAAAGCAATTGGTAAGCCTTCTTCTGTTTTATATATTCTCTGTTTTGCTGCAAGCAAATCTCAATGATAATACAGAAACTTAGGTATTCCAAATGATGGTAAAGTCAGAATCTCATATCTGAAAAAGAAAAAAGTATTTAAATTATGATAACGTTACAATATTTCTTATATTTCTTATCCCCAAAGGATGGTGTCGGTTATGGCATCTCATTGGGTCACCCAAGCGAATTCTTCGCCTCGCCCACTTCTGTCTAATAAAATAGGATCTGGATAACTAATTCTTTTTATGTTCTTTAAATGTGTCTGATCTCTTAGTGGATATATTCAAACCAGTGCAGCTTGATCACCTTAAACCTATCCTTGGTACTTGCAAGCTGCATTTAAAACCTTAAAGCGAATCTCTTCATGTAGGTCTTTCTCTTCGAGTGCTACCAAATACCCATTTCAACATATTTATCTCAAGTTCTCAACCATATTCAACTCAACAGTTGCTATCATGAAAGCCCAATATTTTGACGTGTATAACAAAGCTAACCAAATAACAGCTCTTTTAACTTTTCTCTTTCCCCTTAAAGGCAACATTGTTATCTCGTAGTATTCCAAGATGCTACTCTACATCAGAAAGTGATCATCATGAGTAAATATCTTGATTTAATTACCTTGAAAGATGAATCTCAAATACTTAAAGTACCAATAAATAGGTAATTAGGTCCTTTTAGACTTTTAGTGACACAATATCTTGATTGGAGTGTTTCTTTGCACCCAATTCTCTCTTCAAGTATCTTTTAGATTTCCCATACTTTTTCCGGGGAGATACCGCCTGTGATCCATGAATCTCCAATTGGGAAACCGTATCCAAGCTCCGTGGCTAGTTTGTGCTCTTTGGACTTTTCAAACTTCTTAATACATGCAACAAATTGACTTTATCATACTCTTATCAAAAGTTAACTTGTTGCATGTTTTCAGAAATGGACAAAGTAATAAGAACCTTTTTTAGTACATTAAATGAGTGAAACCTCTTCTAGCTAGCATACCAAATTAGTGTACCATTTAGTATTTATGATGGTTTATTTTTGTTTTTTTGTTTTTTTTTTTTTTTTTGGTAGATACAATTGTGAATTTATTACTTATCTTGTTTCATGATACATCAACTCATTGCTTTCTATGGACTTATATAAACTAAGAATGAAGCTTATGTTGATTATTTTCATTTTCTATATGCCTGTTTCTTGCTTAGATTGAGGTAGTTATGCTAAGGAATGCCTTTTATTTGTATAATTGCATCTGCTTGCATTTGCAATTGTGAAGTTCTGCTCAGTGCTCAGTATTCTGTAAATAATCAAGCTGACCAAATTGATTCTAGTAGACATGACATTTTTAATGTCAAATTTTATAATCCAGCTGAAAATAATGGTTATCACTTTGGTATTTTCATTTTTAACAAGATTTTACATGTGAACATTCTCATTGTAGCCTTTAGAATTATTTCCTAATACTAACCTCATTTTTATGTGAGACTCTTAAACTTTTATAAATTCTAGCTGCACAGGCACTAGCTCTTTATTTGTCTTATTCTTCTGATTTCGTAAACACACTGCATTTTCTTAATGTAACTGTGTTTCTTCAGCACTTTGATGAAATGAGACCAGAATTTCCGAATTTCAACTTCAGTGTCAGCCATCATGGTGATCTTGTGGCTATTGCGTCTGAACCATTCTGCCTTGTGGGTTTGGATGTAGTTTCTCCTCAAATACCTGTGAAGGAGACTACTCAGCAATTCGTCAACAGTTTCTCATCATACTTTTCAAGTAAGGAGTGGAACAAGATAATTTATGCTGGCACTTGTGATGATATGCTGCAAGGGCTCTTTAGGTTTTTCTTCTTATTCTTATTTATTTTCCCGAGTCTCTTAAGAAAGGAAAGACGTTAGTGTAGGAGTATACTCCCTCCGTTTCGTAATAATTGCAACACTATGTGTTGCACAAAGTTTAAGGAAAATTATAGTGTAGGGACCAAAAGGAGAATTTTATAATATAAAGTATAGTTAGCGGGGATATATTTAAAGTAAAATTGGCCTCAACACTCTGACTATGGCTTAAAAGCACCAAAATACTACAAACTAATGACTTGGGTGCAAAGCGTACCTTCAGTGAGTTTTCCGGCCACCATTCTGTCCGTAGCCGGTGAATTAAATTTTTATTTTTTGATTTGCGTGCCGAAAAATGTCCTATTAAGGTTCGGTGATCATTTTGGTTCTTAAGGGTCCAAACTGAGCTTAGAATAAAGCAAAAAAGAAAATAGCGTAAATGACTCAATTCGACTATAAAAACAATGACACGTAAATCGATATAGTTTATAATACGCAAAATGAGTTATTTACGTTAGTTTTTTGCTTATTCAGAGTTCAATTTGCCCATTAAGAGCTAAAATGACTCTCGAAACCTTAACAAGACGCAAATCAAAAAATAAAAATTTACTCTACTGGCTCCGGCGAGAATGGTGGCCGGAAAATTCACTAAAGGTGCGCTTTGCACTCAAGTCATTAGTTTATGGTGTTTTAGCTATTACGCAAAGTACAGGTGTTGGGTGCATTTAAGCAATAGTCCAAAGTGTTGATGCCAATTTTGCCTATATTTAATTGTTAGTAGGAGAGAGAGAAAAAAAAAATTAGTGTAAGAGGGATTGGTTGGAGAAAGAAATAATAGTAGGTGCTTACGAATAAGGAAGTCTTGTAATTATTACGAAGAGAACGTTAAAGGAAAGTGTTGCGATTATTTACGAAACAGAGGGAGTAGTTGCCAAGATTGTTATAATCTGGATTCCCATCTTTTGAACAATTGTATCTGTCACTTCATGCAAACTATAATTTCATAACTCAGCTTTGTGAATTCTTATTCTATAATTAGCTGTCCGTACTTTTTATTTTGAAGAAATCAAATCTTCGCTTAGAAATTCTAGGTTTTTATCTTCCACTTTATAACGGCACATTGTACCCTTGATGAGATCAATCATTTTCTTGTGGTCTAGTTGCTACATGCCATTTAATCTGTGTTACTACCAGGTAATTTATCCAACCTGATATTCACTCAACGCACGGCTTATTGTTGATCTTGGGAACTATAATGAGGTCATTTCTTCATTTGGTTTAGCTAAATTTGGATTATCCATCCAATATTTCCCATTTTTAATTACTCCTATTTGTTTTATTAATCAGCTAGAGTGTTATAGTTCTTTATTTTTTAGAAAAATTGGTTTTATTAATCCTAACTTTAAATTATTTTTTAATAATCCCAACTTTTGGGGGTGTTCTCTTTTAACAGGTCATGACCGGTCAACAAAAGTCAAGGAACTATTATAACACGTTATTTGACACGTGTTAAGCCCTGATTAGTCTAAATTTTTTTTTTTTTAAAAAAAATTTCTGAACAATTTAGCCACTTCCTTCCTTGCTTCCGCCGACCAAACCCCCCCCCCCCACCTCTGATTGGCCACCCCCATCTTCCCCTTCCCTCTTCCCGCCCCCCCCAAATCAACCCCTTTCCTGTAACCACAAAGTCAGCCATGCTCCAACTCCTACCCAAATCAACCACTTTGTTTATCCCTAAACGTTCTCGACTTCCAACTAAGTAGCTCCACCCACAAGGCCAACACCAAACCCCATCCCTTTCCCTTTCGGTACGCATTGATGAAGGACGGGAGTAGGTTTTGAGGTTGGTAGGGTTTCGATTCGGTGGGTTTTGTGATTTGGTGGGGAAAGTGAGAGGGTGGGCTGGCCAGCTGAATTTAGGGGTTGGGGTGGGGAAGCAACCAGTGGTGGCCGACCGGTCAGAACGCTTGTTGGGTTAAGGGGAGAGGATGGGGTGGCTGATTGTTTTTTTTTTTTCTTTGGTGATTAGTTTTTGTTTTTCTTTAAAACACAGCATTTTTTAAAAATAAAAAGAAATTTTTTTTAAAAATCCTTTCTATCGGTCAAAGTTATTTGGCTTAAAAGAAAACGTCTCTAAAGTTGGGATTATGAAAAAATTATCGAAATTTGGGAGTAATAATAGTAAATGGCTCAAAGTTGGGATTAATAAATCCAATTTTTCCTTATTTTTGTTAGCAAATTTGTATTAGTCCATTCAATGTCTCTCTTTTCTCATCCCCACTCTTTTTTCAAAAAAAAAAAAAAAAAAAAAAATCTCTTCTGTTACATCTTTTTAATTTACAATAAAATATTAACTCTACTATATTTCTTACATAATTTTAATACCCAAAGTATCCCACTTACATCTTACTATTATAATAAAGCCAATTAAACCTTCCAAAAATTTTTGCAGTCAAATTTTAACACTTGGAAAAACAGGTGTAGTATAATGCTAGTTTTACACATGGGATGGGTCTCCTTGTGGCTTTGTTCTTACCTGCAGGATAATTCTAACATTATTTACCTGTAGTTTTCTAATTACTTTTTTAACCTTCATTTTTTAGGTATTATATTGGAATTGGCTACCAATGGTAAAGAAAAGTGTGATGAAATCATTGTTGCTTATGTTGGATACATTTCCTTGGATACTTAAAATAGCTAATTTATACTTCAACTGATACACCCGTTGTATATGCATCATGCCCATTCCTAGTCTAAACTGCAGTAAAGGCCTTCCCTATGTGGCATTTGGGGTGCTTTATTTATATATCAATGACTAGATTTTTTTATCTAATGCTAGTCACCGGAGGTGGAAAGGTTTTACTCCAATTAAATGAATGAGGGGCTCAAATTAAAATTGTGCTAGCGGTGGGAGAGGGGGGGGGGTGGTGGAGTTGGGACTGAGAGATATTGAAAACTGAAAATAAGTTTAGCCTGTTGCAGAAGTTGTCATTTTGGACTAACAAAATATGTTTCTTAATGGGTCTTGACTTCGATTTAGTTCACATCAATTTTGTCCTTAAATTGATTGCAGGGATTAGTGGATTACTCCTTCCTGTTCTAGAGGTGGGAGTCAGGGTGAAGTTGAGACTGAGACAGATGTTGAAAACTGAAAATAAGTTTAGCCTGTAGCAGAAGTCGTCATTTTGGACTAACAAAATATGTTTCTAAATGGGTCTTGACTTCGATTTAGTTCACATCAATTTTGTCATTAAATTGATTGCAGGGATTACTCCTTCCTGTTCTAGACTTGGGAGTTTCCATCTCTTTGTATTAAATTACAGTGTATTCTCATAAATTTTTGACAAAACATGGAGAGTACATGTTTAACATTGAGTCAAACTGTTAGCTAAGGGGAATTACAGTTTGTGATATTTTATGGAAGGCAACCCCTATGTAGTATTATAGATATTACTATATTAGTGCTAAAATTTGGCTACTCGACATCAGTTACCCATATGTTCTTGCTTACCATGAATTTGAGTCTAAAGTCTCATTTGACTGTAATGTAATTTGAGACTCTTTTCAGATGTTATGCGATTATTTTTGAACTGATTCGGACAATTGAGGCAGATATTGGAGTCTGAAGGAAGCATTTATGAAAGCAATAGGGAGTGGATTAAGGTACCAGTTGGATTCCCTGGAGTTCAATCACATTAATTGGACTAGAATTTCTGTGAAATTACACAGTGAAGAACTGAGGCACTGGAAATTTTGGCATTTTGAACTAAAGAAGAGGCATTATGTAAGTTTATCATTTAATTCTCCACATTCTTAGCTACTCTGTCTTGCAATCGGATCCACTTTTTGATTGATGGACTGTGTGCAATAGGAATGTGTTCTTACATATGCAAATTTATAGTTCCAACTTTGGTATTGTACAGGATAGTAAGTGAGACTATTCTAGTAGCTTCAATGGCCAAAGTTCTCAATCGAGTATGCCAAAGAAATCACTTCAATAACTTAAATGGAAATGAAAGTATGAAACATTGTTTCTTTAGGTAGCAAAGTTGATTTTGCCTTTTGGAGTCTTTAGCTTATATGGTGCTCATGTATGTGTATGCTGGTAATTAGTATCTGTTCATTCTCGAATATAAAGTAGATATATAAACAGATATGCATCTATCTATTCTTGTTTCAATCTCTTTATATGCAAAATGCGAAGTAGTTTTTCTGTTGTCTATTCTGTCATCTTACTTGGCTTAATGCAACAGGTCTCAGTTGCTCGGGGCTCTCCACATATGGCAACTGAGAATTTCAAGAGAACACTTAAACAGACTGATTTCAATGAGGATGAATATGGTTCGGGGTTCAATCTTCCGAATGCAAGTTTTATATGGAGAACTGTAGAGCAACTCGTTCCCAATTAATTCTCATCAAGGATTCAGCAATAACCCCGCTTTTTAATGGTGCTAGGAGCATGAGTATAGATTTACACCTCGACTAAGTTTAAAATCTGATTAATCTGAGCTGAAGGGTGCAGGACAAATATATTAATTGCTATGCAGTAAACCAGATAGATTAGGCCATGGGAGTGAAATCAAAGATGATATCAAAGATGACTGTAATTTGAGTCAACATTACCATCTTGGATATATAAAAATTTAGGCATTTTTCGAATGAATTGCTTTGACATTTACTTCTGGACTTTCCATTGGTTTTGTTGTCTTCACAGTGTTTAAAATGTGTGCCTTTTGCTTTCTTTCTAGGTCACTTTATTCTTTTTTTCTCTTTCGCTCAGTACTGAACTACTACATTTCTACTAAATTTCACATATGAAAACACCAAGGCATTTAGTTTAACAAAGGGAAATGGAAAAGATTTAAGAAAGCCAAACAAGGTAATGGACACCAAAACCCCCAATATCTACAGGCTTGCCCCAATTTATCTCCTAGATAAATGTTTGATGTTTATCAAGGAGTAATTGAAGGATATATTTGTAATTTGCACTCTAGTTCATCTTCCTCCTCATCCATACTTCATCCACCTCCATTTTCTTCACAGATCTCTTCCTTCTTCTTTCACCCACCTCCATCCTCTTCATCTATTCCTTCAATCTCCACTTGCCTTCATCTTCGTCTTCAAGTTATTTCAATGGAGACTTCGCCAACACCGACACCACAATTTCCAGTGGCTTTGCAGTCGAATTAAACGAAAACCCTATGAGAAAAAGGGAAGAACAAAGGGTATGGTGTAAAGGGGCTACCGGAGGTGGAGCAATGAAGGGGAATTTTTAATTAAGTAGAATTTAAAAGCCAATAATTACAATTTGGCTGGAAAATGATGTCATTATATTATTTTAAGTCACAAGAAAATGGGAAAATAAGAAAATGTCATTATATTATTTTAAGGATAGTAATTAACACTTTTTTTAGGGTAGTAATTGACAAAGACCCGTTTTTGGAGGCAATAATTGACAAATTTTCTCCATATAGTCATGTTAGCTCTTAAGATATTCATCTGAATCATGTCAGTTTGTAATTTCATAATACTTCATCCGCTTTATTAGAGGCATCACTCTATATGTATGGAAGTTTTAATATAAATGTACTCCTTTCGTATTTTAATAAGTGTTACACTTTGACCGCACATATTTTTAGGTAATTTAATTGACTTAAATAAAATAAGAGGTAAGTAGGGTAGTTGGAGTATTAAAATATTGTAAGGGTTAATACTTTATTGAAAAGTAATGAATGCAAGTGAGAAGAAATAATAATAAGGAAAATTGTAAACTAATAATCCCACCTTTAGTCGGTCTTCCAGAAACAATCCCACTTTTTGAAATTACAGAAATAATCCCACCTTTAATATGTATCTTCCACTAACGATCCCTTTGACCTACAACCTGTTAAACAGGTTAATTATTTTTATTTTTTTTTAACCTAAATCTCTTTTGGGGCCACCAGTCCACCACCATGGTCACCCTAACCCCTAACCGCCACTGCCACCCACAAGGCCACCACAAATTATTCCAACCATGCTGTAACCACCCCTAAAACTCAACCTCCGCCCCCAAAAACTTGACCCACAGCCCCGAAAAACCTCCACCCAGCCTGAAAACTCAACCCTCAGCCCTAAAAAGTAAACCCCGGCAGCCCCAATTACCTCTAAATTCAAATTTTAGCTTGAAATTAAACCCAGAAGCTCCTCTTTAACCAAGGCTCAATACTCTTATACTGATTATAGAAATTTCTCATATCCGCAACCACCATCTTTAATCACAAACATATGCAGCAACGACGTAGTCATCGAAGCCGATGAATCGATCTTCAATTCGTAAGACCAGCGAGGACATTACGACCATCGATGTTCATAGCACATAAACCACAAATTTCTTCGCGGCAAGTTCGGCAGAAGGTGACTAGGTGAGAGAGAAGGATCGATTTTGTTCTTGATGTTGATGAGAGCGTCGAGAACCATGAGACCATACTCCTTGAGGTTGATCTCATAGTTTTTGAGCTCGGGTTTCGAAGGAGTCGGGGTTCTAGCGGTAGATTTGGAAGGTTTTCATTGATATTGGTGGCGGCGATGGTGAGTTGAGGGCTAGGTTGGGTTGAGGAAAGCAAGGGCGGCAATGGGGAGGGGAAAGCAGTGGCGGGGTGGGGCTAGTGGCGGGGCTGTGTTGGGGTTGGAGATGGGTTTTTTTTTTTTATATATATATATTATTATTAAAAATTTGAATAAACCTATTAAAATTCAACACGTGTTTTATAACCTAAGAAAACCGGTTACCAAAGCTATCCAACCGGTCAAGGATTGTTAATGGAAGATCCATGTTAAAGGTGGGATTGTTTCTGGAATTTCAACAGGTAGGATTGTTTCTGAAAGACCGACTAAAGGTGGGATTATTAGTTTACAATTTTCCTAATAATAATAATAATAATAATAATAATAAATTTGGGTGAGGAACATGAGAGAAGAGAGATACAATATTAAAATGTAGGTTTTTTTGTCAAAAAAGAAAATGTAACCCTTATTAAAACACAGAGGGAATATAACTTTTACTTTAGTCGATAAATTCTCACATATCACATGGACCCTCTTTATTATTTCTCTCTATCTCTCTCTACTCCAAAAATTATTTAGGAGTCCGCAATTTTAAAAGTGGTACGTTTAATAAAAAAAAGAAAGCATAATGTGTTCCGTAAGAAAAGAAAATATAAAATCAATTCAACTTTATTATTTTATTTCTATGAAATATCAAATTATGTACAAATGAAAGCAAGCTAGTACAAAAACAAAAGGGGGGAAAAAGATTATGAAATGATTGCTATTAGTAAAATCTGTGATTTGTTACAAGGGTGGAACTATTTAAATCACATAAACAAATTTTCGTGATATCTAAACCTAAGTATACAAAAAGAATGGGCATAATTTACAAGTGCTGATTTCCTGAGGCATAAATTACACAGCTGGCTTCCTTCCCAGCAATTAAACTATTATCATCAACTTAAGCTAGAAATGTACAGTGTCTTGTCCTCACATAAGCATATTTAACTCAGATAGATCATCCATGGGTATTTCAAGACCCATAGAGTCGTGATCTTGCAAACCATCCTCGTCAAAATTTAACCAAGTACTCAGATCTTGATGTCCTTCAAATTCATTCGCTACACTAAGGTCTTCAATCGAGTCTATTTCACTTAAGGGCAAGCTACTAAGGTCCATAACATCTTTGCACTCTTTGGATGAATCAAGAATGTTTCCAGGAGAGATTAACCCTTCACGTTTCCTATTACTATTATTACCAACCATGTCACTGAAAACATTACCTGAAGGTTGGACTGGATGTGTAGACAACTGCGCAGCCTTTTGCTTAGGTTTCGACTTTGTTTTCCGTTCACCCCTCAAATTAGATATTGAAGGGCGGCCAGCTTTGGCACCGGAATCTCTTTCAGTTCTCTTTCCCTTTGCTCCACCCAAAAGCGATGATCCAAGAGTTGCTGTTGATCTTAGGGCAGTATTTCCACCAACATCATCAAGCAACACTTCCTTCTTCTTGCCTCTGTTCAATATAGGTCCATTCTTTGCAAAAGCATGGTCAGACTGATGAGAAAGAGCTTCATATGCATCAAATGGACCCCTACCAGATTTATCATTTTGAAAGTCAAGCTGTTCAGGACCAGTAAGGTATGCTCCTGTAAACATTAAAAGCAGAAAGTTATTTTCAAGGGGATATGTCGATAAAAATGATAACTTGTGGTCAAGGGACTTTTCAGACTCCATGAGTTCAGTTAAACAGTTTCTCATCCTACAATTTTTTAAAAAATAGAGTTTTTATCCTACTTAAGTGGAAGAGAGGATGATAATTAATTTGCAGTGACTTCAAAATTTTACTTCTTTTGTTTAAATAGTCTTTATACAAGAGACCAGCTAGGTATATATTTGCGGTATGAGTTAAACCAGAGTCCCAGATAGACAAGATTTATATTCACTACAGCTAACAAGCTAGTTTGATCGGATGTATACTAAAATAATACCAGATGATCTAGAGTCCAATCGCATGTTCTGTTCTGCTTGGATGCCACTGGCGACTCCCGTGTTATTGCTAGGTACAGCAAGAAGAACATCACGAAGAGAAGGCTCACTGAAACAACTCTTCCCTGCGTCTTCAAATTTCCGACACCTAGCCAAGGTTCTTCTAATGAAGGCCAAGGCCACGTGTCTTGAGACCTTAGTGATCCCAATTCTAGCAGCACTGCTTCCACGTGTTGCCTGATGAGAACATGAAATATATCATATTTATGTATCAAATAATAAAAAAATTATACATATATAATAGTGAACACTTCAATTCCACAACTAGTACTAAATATTCAATACAATAGTAAACACACTTATTTGATCCTATAACTTTCACCTCTTTCTAGAGATGTAATATCACAGATCTAGGAGTTGCGCTTGGGGTTGAACCTCCATTCTTTTGAATCAGATTTTAGATATCATTCATCTAACTTTGAAATCTAACCACAGAAAAACTCCAACAACACAGTTCACACAAGAGTACAATGGTAGACAAAGGATCCAAAACATAACTAGCATAGAATAACTAAATAAATTTGCTGTATTTATCCAATTTACATGAAGGTAACAAAAGTTGGCAATGACTGGACAGGCACCTAAACATAATCCATGTACAAACAAGTGATGCTTTTACGTTGTATCTCGTTCACACTAGACAGCAAGAAAATGGCACAATAGAAACCTCCGCCATTGCACATTTCATCAAAAAGAATCTTTCTGTCTCTGATAAGCATCCTCTTTTTTCCTTTTCTTTTTTTTTTTTCACTTCATTCTTGATATAAGTCGAAGTTTTTTGTTTCAAATATTACTCCCATCCCAATATAAAGGTCCCATTTCACCCAAACATCTTGTCTCCAAATAAAAGTGCCATTTATTCACTGTCACATTGTTATATAATTTTAATCAACCAATCCCACTCCCTTCATCTCTTGTTTATTATATTCACAATTAATCAACCAAATCCCACCCTCTTTTTTAATTCACCTTTAATGAAACCAATGTACCAAACCCAACCTTCTTCTGTTATTCACCTTCCTAAAAACGTGAGTAAAAGGAAAATGGGACTTGTATTTATGGACGGACAAAGTACTACGCAC